GCTTCACAGTGCAGTTTGCCTTTAAGAAACTACCACTTATTGAGTTGTGGTACTCTATTGAATAATATCTGCTGTTACCTGAAACAGCTATTAAAATGCCACTTCTTTTCTAGCTGTGTAGCTTTGGGAAACCAGATTTTCTTCATATACTTCAACAAAAGCAGCATACTACAGCAGAATGAATTCAAGTATAGATATTACAATCTAGATAACTTCTATGAAGCCAGACATCTAAAACTTTGCAAAGTTTATGTAATTTTTGGAGATTTTTTTCAAACATTTATGTTTTTATGTTAATATGTAATGTGTTTACTATTATTTTAGATAACCATTTTAATATCTGAGAAATCCACATAGGTATCATCCATATCAACAAAGCTCTTTAGAGTCCTCAGTAATCTTAAGAGTTGTAAAGGGTTAGAATTTTTAAAACTAAAAAAAAAGAATTTTTAAAACTACTGATTTACCACTTTACAGAAAACATTTTTCATGTTCATTGTCTTTCATTCAAAACCATCTTATGAGGTACAAACTGTTACCCAATTGTTTTTTTTTTTTTTTTTTTGAAACAGGGTCTCACTGTAGCAAAGGGTAGTCTCGAACTCACAATGATCCTCCTGCCTCAGCCTCCCGAGTGCATTACCATAATTTTACAGATGAGAGTAACATCAAGATGCTCTATATGTTCTAGTTAGTAATCCCTCCAAATCTGGCAGTTCTCCCACTATAATTACTCTCTTGAAGGTTTGCTTCTGAATTTCATTTTGTAGGCCCTATCTCCTTACACCCCTTTTTCTCAACTGGAATTTCTTATGACATTTTTTCACAGTACAAAGCTAGTATGTGCACCATGCAGAAAACTCACAGATCCCAAACAAAAGCATGTAAAAGTTGTTCTTAATCCTGCCCAGTAGAGGAGACTGAACTGCTCAGTGTACATTTATACAGATGCTCCTTTAAATATCAGTGTGAAGTCAGTATAATCTAGTGCTCACCTAAAAAACACTTCGTAGTCAAATAAATCTTAGTTTGAATCTCATATCTTAAGAACTCTTGGGCAAATTTTAAACAACTTGTTCCTCAGCTGTAAAATGGGAATATTCAAAGTACCTACTTCAGAAGGTTGTTGTGAGCCTTAAGTGAGGTAACGCACAAAGAACACCAATTACCTGTCATCCCGGAAACACTTGATTAATATTAGCTGGTGATGATGGTGCTAGTGTGTATTGGTGTCACATTTATTGAAGTATGTTTTACATGTAGTAAAATTTAGTCATTTTAGTGTACAGTCCTCTGAGTCTTGATAGCTCATACACTTGAGTAACTGCCACCTATACAGATATAGAACAGTCCTGTCACCGCAGAAATTCCCTCAAGCCCCCCTGTAGTCAGCCTTCCCCTCACACACACACTAAAAAAAAGCTAGTAACTGCAGTGATCTCTTTTCATTGTCTAATAGTTTTGCCTTTTTCAGAGTATGAAATAAGTGGAGTTGTACATGTGTTGTGGTTTCAGTCTCACCTATTTTACTTAGCGTACTGCATTTGAGTTTCATCCATATTGTAGGTATCCATGATTTGTTCCTTTATATTGCTGATTAGTATTCCATTAAACATGTGGAGCACAATTGGTTAGCATTTCACCAGTTTATGGACATTTTGGTAGTTTTCAGTAGCTTCTATGAACATTTGAATATGAGCCTCTGGTTTTTTTTTTTTTTTCTTTTACTTGGGTAAACACCTAGGCATGGGATGGGTGGGTCATAATATAAGTATGTACTAAACTTTATAAGGACCTGCTGAAATGTTTTGTATGTGTCTCTACTGTTTTGTGTTCCCACCAGCACATATGAGAATTCCAGTTGCTCCACAACCTTGCCAGCACCTGTCAATCATTTTAATTTTAGCTATTCTAGAGACTAATTTAATCTCATTGTGGTTATAGTTTGCACTTTTAATGACTGAAAATAGTGATCATCGTTTCATGTGATGATTTGCCTTTTGTATATTTTATATGTTGGTATGTCTGTTCACATTTTGGGGGCATTTTTAATCAGATTTTCCTAGTGTCTTTGATCATTGACTTGAAAACTTCTTTTATTTTTTTTTAATTAATGTTTTATTTAAGTCAAGTTTATAATTCATATATTAAAGCAAAGATTGCACATAATAAAAGTAATATCATGTGGTATATATATATATATATATATATATATATATATACACACACACAAAATCTAAATGTTTAATTTGGGTTAAACATATCTACCTTCTGATCCTTCTCATTTATCATTTCTTTATGTGTAAAGCTTCCAAAATCCTTTCTTCCAGCTTTTTGAACTATACAATGCAATATCCTTATCTACAGTCACTCTGCTCTGCAATAGCACACCAGAGCTTCTTGTTCCTATCTGTGATATAGTACCCATGGGCCAGCCTTTCTCCATGCCTCCCTCCCCCTACTCTCCCCAGCTTCATTAACCACCACTGTACTCCCAAATTCTGTGAGATCAACATTTTAGATTCCACATACAAGTGAGGTCAAATGGCAGTTATCTTTCTGCATCTGGTTGATTTCACATAACATAATGATGTCCGGTTCCATCTATGTTACCACAAACGACATGATTTCATTTTTTATGACTGAATAGTATTCCAGTAGGTATATGACCACATTTTCTTTATCCATTCATCCTTTGATGGACAGTTAGTTTGATTGCTTATTTTAGCTATTGTTAATAATGCTGCAGTAAACTTGGGAGCACAGGTATCTCTTCCACATACTGGTTTCATTTCCTTTGGATATCCACCACACAGTAGAGCTGCTGGATAATATGGTAGTTCTATTTTAGTTTTTGGGTTTTTTTCTTTTTTAGGGATTAACAGTTGTTATATTACATATTTCTATCTTCAGTGAAGTTGGTCAGATTACCAGATGTAAGAATGCAAGATTGATTAAACCACTGAACAAAATAAAAAATAAAAACAAAGAAATTATAACAATACAGAATTTCACCAAACAAGATGATAGGGGGGCTGGGGATTTAACTCAGTGGCACAGCGCCTGCCTGGCAAGCTAAATGTCGTGAGTTCAATTCCCGGTACTGGAAAGAAAAACAAAAAACAAAAAGATGATAGGAATTTGACATTGGTTGTTATATTGCATATTGTTGTCTTCACATTAGTTGTTCAGATTACCAGATATAAGCATGCAAAATTGGTAAAAAAAAAAAAAAAAAACAAAAGCATTAACTGTCCCTTTCAATAAACCATTAGACATCAGCTGTACAGTTATCCCAGCTATCCTTCTGTATACATAGATATTTTTCCCTTCTTTCTTTTTCTCCTTTCCCTCATTCCAGTTGTTTCTTCTTTTGAGCAATTTCTTTCCCTTTATTAATATTTTATGGACATTTTGGTAGTTTTGGACATTTTATGTACATAATATTTTTGAGGAGCCTCCTCACTGATTTCTATAGTGGTTGTACTAATTTAGAGAGCTTTTTTTCTAATATAAGTATTTGATGTTAGACCTTCTCTGTAGTACTGCTTTAGCAGCATCTCACAATTTTCATTATGTTTTCACTTTTATTCAGTCCAAAATACTTTCTAATTTTCTTCGTGGCTTTTTCTTTTGCCTATGAGTTACTTGGAAGTGTGATGTTTAATTTAAAGTATTTTGAGAAATTTTGTTATGTCTGTGTTGATCACTAGTTTAATTTCATTGTGCTTAGAGATTTTCTTTTTATGATTTCAGTGCTTTTTAAATTTGGTTAGCCTTATTTTATGGCCCCAAATTCAGTCTTCCTTGGTGAATTTTCCACATGCTCTTGAGAAAAATTTGTATTCTGTTGTTCAGAGGAACTCTTCCTCACTATCACTTGGGTTAAGCTGGTTGATAGTGTTGTTATAATCTTTTATATCTTTAGTTATTTTTTATGTTTAATATCAGTTATTGAGAGAGTACTAATATCCTTTTTTTAAAGTTAGAGTCTTGCTATGTAGTTCAGTCTGGCCTTGAACTCATTGTGTTGCCTAGGCTAACCTCAAACTCGCAGTGATCCTCCTGCCTCAGCCTCCAGAGTGCTGCGATTTTACACATACACTACCACATTGGCTTTCTACTGTTTACAGGGTCTTGCTAAGTTGCCAAGACTGTCCTGGAATTTATGGTCTTCCTGCCTCAGCCTCCCAAGTAGCTGAGATTACAGGAGTATGCTGCTGTACCTGGGTTTGTCTAGTTCCTTTTGTAAGGTGGGAAGTTGAATTCTAGTCTGATTATTATATCAAAGCTGGAGGCAGAAGTCCTCAGCAGTATAATTGCTAAAGAATATTTCTAGGACAGCCTCTACAGAACTTTTCTTTTTATGTGAGATGTGAGTGTGTGCACATATACATACTTATTCAGCCCTGGAAAGTATGGTACATGTACAAAAATGTGCATACCATATGAATAGGGAAGATGGCTGCCACTTTACAAATAGAATCAAATCATCAGTTAGTGACATAACATGACCCTATCCTGAACATGTTAACCTTTTCTGCTCTCCACATCTTGGTATAGCTAGCTCCTTCTGCCTTGAATGCTTCCTCATCTCATCTCATTTACCTTCCTGTCTTCCAGACAAATATCCTCTAAAGCCATCTCCATTGTTACCACCTCTCCGCTTCCATTGCTCAAACAGAACCCATATTTCCTCTTTCTGGCTCCCACCACACCCTCCCCAAAGCACCAGTTCAGCCAAGGACCTGCTGGATTGTGATTGTCCGCTTCTCTGTAGACTCCCTCCTCAGGAAGCCCTTGAAAGCAGGGGACTTGTTTTATTTCCCTTATGGTTCTCTTATTTCCAACACAGTTTCTACTGTGTAGAACTTTTTAAGAAGCAGTTGGTGAATTAGTGGCTCTTTATGTGCTGAAAAATATTGCTGTTGTTCTTCCCCATTTCAGAATTACCTGCTGGTAAAAGTAAATCTTCCTTAATCATTTTACTTTTCTCCTAGTAAATTCCTCATCTATGCCTGTCTGCTGCTATTCTCTGTGCTGCTGGCCCTTCGTCTGGATGGCATCATTCAGTGGAATTACTGGGCTGTCTTTGCTCCCATATGGCTGTGGAAGTTAATGGTCATTGTCGGTGCCTCCGTTGGAACTGGAGTCTGGGCGCGAAATCCTCAATATCGGTAATACTGCTTTATAAAACCTGCTCTGTCCTGAGAGTGATATCTGGTTTTTGTCACTCATGATGAAATAAGGACCATTTCTTTTTGAAATGAGGTTGTGTAAGAACTATTTGGGCTTTTATAGAACTGTAGTATAGACAAACTGAGATGTCATCAATGTTTTTAAAAGGAAGGTATTTGATTCGTGTTTTCCTGCAAAAGCAGTGTGATTTGGGTGCTTAAGTACCTAGCAAGCCCACAAATCCCTATATAATCCCAGGCATACCCAAAATATAGAACTATTATGTCATACTAGGCTACAAGGCACGAAACTGCATGTGCTTGGGAGGGATTCAAGCCTTGATTATCACATATCTGACTTTCTCTAGTTTGCTTTTGTAATGAGGCCCCAGTCGTTCTAATCTCCTAGTCCTGGGGCTTTAGGACTGTTCTAATGTCAGGGAAGTAACTTGGCCAGAACACCACGAGTCCCTCAGATGGGCTTCACAGTGGAGAAAGCTGAGAGCCAGATGCTGAGTGGGAAAGATGGAGGAAGGGTGTGTGCAGCCTGGCATTGCTAACCTCTGTGTGAGTTTTTCCTTTCTCACAGAGACTATGTTATGCCTTGTGTCTAGATGTCCCCCCAAAGCCTCATATGCTCATAGGTGGAGCTTTTCAGAGGTGGCTGGATCTAGGATGTATTATACTGACATTAAAGGTGTGTAGTACTAAATCAGTCCATTGATTGGAATTAGCATAGTTCTGGGTGTGGCTGAATGGATTTACTGAAAACAGATGCCCTACCCTGGGTGTAGGTAGCACCACCCAGAAGGTTTGTAGCCTCCCTGGGATAAAAGGGAAATGGAAGCTCGCTGCTTGCTGCCTTCTGCCTGCCACACTTTGAACTGTTTCTCCTCTGCAATGCCCCTCTGTCATGTCACCTTGCCTTGGAGCCACCAACTATGGACTGAAACCTCTACAAACTGTGAGCCAAATAAACCTTCCTTCCTTTAACCTTAGGTGTGGGGTATTTTGTCTAAGCACCATGAAAAGTAGCTAAGCCATACTGGAACTGCATCAAGGAAAGACAGGGGGTGCTGGAGAATAGGGGGCTATTCTAAACCTTCACCAAAAAGTGTGGAGTGAAGCATTTTAAGCAAGTGGGGAGACCAAAGGGAGGTAATGCAGATCCTCATGTGGGAAGACTGTAGAAGTTGGGTCACTGCAATTCTTTAAAAATTCTTTAAAAAGAAAACAAGATTTAGATAATTTGAAGACTGTATCACATGTGTACCTAGGAATTTTTAGATAGCTACACGGAGAGTCTTGGCAGATGAGGGCCATTCAAAAGTAGCTATTTTAAAGTTCTTAAATTTTTTTTTGAAAGATTGATTACCATTGTGACTGCACATTTTTTCCTTTATATTGTCAGGTATCTAGTGTGTGTGCCTCAAAGAATGAAAAGTTACCTGACAATTTAGTTTCTACTATTTGATATTTAGAAGTTATTTAAACACTATCTCTGTGTGCTTAAGATTTTTCAAGCAGAGAAAGAAGTGTGTGTATGTATTACAGTGTTGAGAATGTACAAATGTGCTCCTTCTAGAGTAAACATTAAGCGATGGAACTTAGGGAATAACCTCTAACTTCATTTTCTCTGTTCAAACCACAGATGATTGATTGCCAATACGACATATATATTAGAAATGTCATCTGGACAATATTTTGAATGAACATTGTAGAATTTTCAAATTATAAAATATTGTCCTGATTTGTGACCTTATAAATTTTCAGTAGTAATCTATTAAGTTCATGCATGATACTTAAATAGCTAGTTAAAATGATTCTGAGAATGGTGTTAATTCTTTTACTCTTTGTGGTTCATCTGCAGGTTTTAATTCATCATAATGGAATAGGCAGGAAAATAAAAAGATACTCATAATTTTATCTGCATTATAAAATAAAATATAAGCTAACAAATAGTTACCATATCTTGTTGAACCTAACCTATATTTGTTCATAAAGTTAGAGTTATTTATGTAGTATTTTATGAAATATATTTTATATTTTGGTAGAGGAGATTGAAGCCAGGGCCTTTACACTGCACTACATCCCCAGCCCTTTTATTCTACTTTTAATTTTTGAGATAGGGTCTTGCTAAATTACCAGGCTTGATAGAACTTTTAATCTTCTTGCCTCATTCTCCTAGAGTACTGGGATTATAGGTGTGCACCATTATTAGCTGAAATAAGTGAGAGATAAGGCTCATAAGATGTAAAAAGTATTTTTTCATTTTAAGAAGTATTTGTCAGTTTTTAACAATAGAAGCAGTGTAAATAATCTGGGAAGTACCTCTTACTGAATTAAAGTTATGAGCAAAAGTGTTTATATGTGTATTCTGGGAAATAATACCTGTGGCTATCACTAGTGAGAGTATACTTACACAGTTAAAACATTAAATCTCACTTGGTGATAATGTTTATCTCTTGTCTTTCATACTTGGAAGATTGCCTGTGAAAGATTAGGTTTCCTTTTTGTCAAATTTACAAGTCAAATTAAAGCTTCAACTTAAATTGTTTACTTATATTTACAGTGAACTGCTTGCTTTTAATGGAGATTCGGAACTGAGGGTCTTTTTCTTCTTTTTCTGTCCCTCTTCAGAGCAGAAGGAGAAACATGTGTGGAGTTCAAGGCCATGTTAATTGCTGTGGGCATCCACTTGCTCTTGTTGATGTTCGAAGTTCTGGTGTGTGACAGGATCGAAAGAGGAAGCCATTTCTGGCTTCTGGTCTTCATGCCGCTGTTCTTTGTTTCCCCGGTGTCTGTCGCAGCTTGTGTCTGGGGCTTTCGACATGACAGGTCACTAGAGGTGAGATTACGTATATTTAAGGATATTTTCAAACCAGTTCTTCTAATATCAGTGTCTTGCCCTTTGTTAGGAGGAGATTGTTAACTCTAGATCGTGAGGTATATAAGGAAAGAAAGATAATGGAATAGTCCTTTCTCCTTCTTCACTCTGGCTTTCCCCTGGGCTACCAGCCTTCCAGATGAATAGAGAGTTTAGGAAGGATCCAGCCACAGTGGCTTATGTCTATAATCCCAGCCAGTAGAGAGGCTGAGGCAGGGGAATCGTGACCTTGGAGCCAGCCTGAGTAACTCATCAAGAGCCCATTTCCAAAAAATAAATAAATAAAAGTGGACAGGAATGTACCTCGGGGATAGAGTCTTTGCCTACCATGCAAGGCCGTGGGTTCAGTGTCCAGCACTGAAAAATAACAACACAAAAAACAAAAGAATGGTGGAAGAAGACTACTATTGGAAGGGAACATAGGAGCCAGAGGGTGAGCCTTCACCCCAGGTATAGATTCTCTCATCACTCAGAGAGAGATGGTGATGGAGCAAGGCCCTGGGGGACCCAGAGGCAGCAGTACCCAGAGCACCAGAAAGGGCTTAGCCTGGCAGGGCACCACTCTGGCCTGGCTAGCAAGCCTTGGTATTGGTGCAGCTGATAGTAGAGGGACTTCCTCTCCCTGGCTACCTTCACTTTCCCAACCCACAGCAGCCCAGCAACTTCTCTTCTACTCTACTTCCCTCTGACTGCTTACTAGCAGAGGCTGAAGAAAGTCATGTGACTCGAGGACTTGGCTACCGTGGTTCATGGGTCCTCAGCTTCAGCCGGACTGTGATAACGAGGCCATAGCACCTGGGCCCCCAAGGGGTGAGCATTGGTTTAAGGGTTAGACTGGGGAAAATCTTCCTCGTTTTATGAATAAAGCACAGACATGCGTGTAGTGTATTACCTATGAAATATCTGTGGTATTAAAATTTCATGAGGGGTGTGGTTAGGAAGCAAATGTTTTTCAAGGCTTCTTGGGAAACAGTAATGGAAGCGAGCTTGAGCAGCACTGTGCTGCTCCTCCTTGTGCCAAGCAGCCTGGTATGAGCTCTCCATGCACGGGGCCACAGGGCCCACGGGGGCCCTGACATGTACGGTCTCTGAAAGACCTGCCTGCTGTCCACCCTTTCTCTTTGCAGACTTGTCCTCTGGCATTTGCTCTAGAATTTACCCCACTCGGCGCAGCAACTTTGCTGTGCCTCCTCGGAAAGAGAAAAGCAAACAGCAGCAGCCGCAAGCTTCTCTCAAGCCTTTGCTCTCGTGCTTTCTTCTCTCTCCTCCCACTCACAGAACATCTCAAAACAGGCTGTTCCGCCCCTACCGCCTTAATCCTTCCTGCTGGGTATCTGGTATCTTCCCAGCCCTCAGGCCCCTGGAGGCCTAATGTGAGTGCCCCAGGCCAAGCCCAACGAGCCCTTTGCAGTCTTTATCTTTTTGGACCATGGAGCGCTCTGGAGCACTTGACACTGCTGAGCATTTCTTGACAGGACTGGCATCATCCTCACTTCCAGTCCTCTGACCCACTGGCGCCTTCCATCCTCAGCTTGCTGGCTGAGTTCCTCCTTCCCTACTCCTGACTAGCTGCTGTGAGCTCTTAGCAGGCTGATTTTGGGGATACCCCTCCTCGCTGCTCTTACTGGCTTGGAGCAACCTCCCTGAACGCCTGCTTCCACGGCCCCTCGCATGCTATTGCCTCCTAAATCCCTACTCCCGCCTCACTGTGCCTCACATGTCGTCTCCACCTCCAGGCTCTTCACCTTCCCCCGAGTCTGCTCTCCCTCTTGGTTACCGCCACCATCCCACCTGGTCATATGCACCTTTCTGCTCTAGGCCTCTATTGCCTTGCGTGTAGTTCCTGTTACCTGAGCAAATGGAGTAAAACCAAGCTTTAAAAATCATGACAAAAGCTTGTATTAAACAAAAATCGAAACATTCTAAGAGGTCCCACTCGCTCCAGTGTTCCTCACTGGAGGAGGGAGGTGTGTGATTGGCATTCCAGATAGGGAACATGGGCGAGCAAGTGTCCCATCCTTTGCAAGACCTGTGCTCCTGACCCCTGTGCCTTAAGTACTCGTGGTGGTGCTGTCCTCCAGGCCTCTCTGCTGTCTGAAAGTGCTCCTGCATGTTTCTGAGCCACTCTGGTCCCCAGGAGCAGCACTGCCAGGTTGAGGAGTACCCATAGAGTTATCTAAAAGCTTTTAGACAGGGGAGACGAAGAAAGTTTTCAAAACCTAGGAGGATGTGGAACGTTGTTTCTTGGAAAGCAAAAGCATACACCAGAGCTCAGACTGCATCAGGCAGGAGTTGCAGAAAGTGAGTCTTTCACACATTCGTGGCCTTTCCGTGCATGGGAAGAAACAACACGTGGGAAAACTGAGCTCCCTGCAGACTTTTGGCTACCAAAGGAAGAGAATGTACAGCACCAAGGGGGTCGCTGGGGGTAAGCTCTCACAGAGTTGTAAAGGAGGACCTAGGATCTGCTGGTGGGCTGTGTGTTGGGACAGAAGGACGTGACGAATTTCAGGTGTACCCAGGCATAGAGCCAAAAAAACCCATCAGCTGCATGGACTCCAGGGAAGCTCAGTTGTGACTGGAGCAGAGGTATGGGGGACTGCGGGCATGGGAGAGGGGAGCTTCCTCATAGGGCTGGGGCTGAACAGAGGCCACTCGCAGCATATGCACTGAGGTGCCCTGGGCGCCCAAGTGACCTCACAGGGCACCAGAAATAGTGGATACTTGGAAGGAAACACTGGTATCTGACATCTGCTGGGGCGCCATTCAAACTACTCGCTCAAGACACTTTACAGTTGTATTATTAGGTTAAACCTCATTCCCTTCGATGACACCATATCTTTTATGAAGCTGAGTTTTGAGCAGTTGCTGTGATCGAAGCTAGCACAGTGGGAAAATGCAGGTGTAAAACAGCTGATGAGAATGGAAGTACCTTACCTAATGCCACAGTTTGTGACATTGGGTTCAATCTGGCATGTGCAGCTCATTAAGAATTAGTTATGGTTTTCAAAGAATGATACTTCTTTTTTTGCAGTCGTGGAGGTTGAACCCAGTGCCTTCACACTGACTTACATCCTTGTTTCTTTTTATTTCTTTTTTCTTGTTATTATTTCTGCTTTTGACACAGGGTTCCGCTAAGTCCCCCAGGTTGGGCTTGAACTTGTAGTCCTCTTGCCTCAGCCTCCCAGATGGCTGGGACTATAGGCATGCACCACCACACCGTGCTGAAATAGTATTTTGCTTTTGACTTGGTGATTCATATTTTCACTTTGCTCAGCCTGGGAATACTAAGTTTAGACCTAATTACTTAAATCAGTGGAACTATTAGGTATTTGTTTGGCCCAGACATCTGTGGAGGAGTTACTGAGTCACTAGATGGCTTCTGGATTGAGAAGCTTGGAGGAGCTGTAGGACGGGTCACAGAGTTTTGTTCAGTAGACAAGGACGAGGACTGTCACAGAAGGAAGAGCATCTTGGGAGCTTTGGGAGCGGGAAGCCATCAGGCTGGAGGCGGCGAAGCTAGTTGGGGGTCTGCGGAAGTAGCTGGCAGTGGTCAGAAATGAGAGGCGACCTAGCAGCTGTGACAGGGACAGAGAGTGGGCGGGGGTCACGAGACGTTGGGATGGGGGGTGGACAAGATGCAGTGACTGAATATGAGACTAGGGGAGAGCGCGTGGAGGGTACTTCCCGGGTCCACGGCCTGGGAAATCAGGCTGCTGCGGTACCTTAGTGAAGGAAAGGCGGGGGGCAGGGAATAATTGGCTCACCTGGGCACAAGCTTCACTCAGGTGCCCCTGGGAAAGCCAGGTGGTGCCTGCACAGCTGGGCTGGTGTGCAGCAGAGGCTGCCCTGGAGGCAGACGCGAGAACCGAGCACTGGGCGATGTGGGAGGCCACGACGGGGTGGAGTGAGGGAAGGAGTGGAACGGTGTGTTTTGCCGTGGACATTTCTCTAGTGGGGACAGAAGACAGATTCCGGGGCTGTGAGTAGTATCACTAGCTAAGGACAGGGAAAGGAGCCCCAGAAGGAATTGTCAGAGCATTCAGAGGACACCAAAACTGTGTGGTGGGATCCTTGAAGCCCAGGAAGGGGGCCTACCACGGCACATGCCCCAGAGATGCCACGAGCACACAAGTGTTCTGCGGCCTCGTAGCGTTGGTGACCCTGACGAAAGCAGTTTTCCGGCGGGGTGGTCATGCGGGTAGAAGCTGTGTCACATGGGGAAGGTTGGACTGGGAGATAAGGCAGTAGGGGCTCACATAGCCACTTGTGTCTCACCAAGTTAGGTGACAGTGGAAAAAGGACTAAGTTGAAGAGAGACACCGAGTCACAGGAGGGGTGGGCTTATTTGGATTTGAGGATTTTGCTTTTAGTGAGAAATAGTTGGCTTGTTTGTTGCTCAGAAAGATCAGTGGTGCAGGTGGGGTTCACAATGCCATAGAGCATCTCAAATTGAGGGCTTGATGTGGCAGAGCCTTAAGGAGCCAAAAAGGAAGGGGAGGGTGCGGAGCCGAGTCCTAGGAATGAGGAAAAGGAAGCAAAGTATTCAGCGGTTACAAGTGAAAGACTTCGCCTGGGCAGGAAGGAAGCTGAGAAGGCGCCCACTGCCACTTGCCTGTCTTCGCAGAACCCCGGAGCAGGGCCAGCATCACCGGGCCAGCGGCTCTGAGGCTTCCGGCTCCACAGGAGGCAGGGCAGCCACCGAGCAGAGGGACGGGACGGGAGACCAGGGCCCGGTGCTCCTTAGCAGAGCGCTGCTGTCCCCTTCCAGAGTTGGAAATCAGTCATTTCCACGCTGATAGAGTGAAAGCCGGACTGTGTTGCACTTTGCATCGCCTTTGAATGCATTAACCAAATAACTGTGGTGTTGAATACGACTTTGACTTTACTTAACTGATTTTTTTCTTCATTTTTAGTTAGAAATCCTGTGTTCTGTCAACATTCTTCAGTTTATATTCATTGCCTTGAGACTGGACAAGATCATCCACTGGCCCTGGCTTGTATGTAATTCGAATAAACTTTCCTTTATTATAAAAGTAATTCATGTACATTCTAAGAAACTTTGAAAACATAGCTAAGCATATGCAGTAGACCAATAATCCCCTGTATTCCCATTCTGGGAGATAACATGGTTAGTGTCCTTTATTATGTAAATAGTTGAGATTATATTACATGTAAGATTTTGTGTCTTTTTAAAATTTTAACATATGTATTTACCTATGTCAGTATAAATGTCTATGAATATGACTCTTAAAATGCAGTCAATGCAAAGTATTCTTTAATTGAAATTATCAAGCCATCCCCTTATTTCTGAATATTTCAGTTGTTGCCACTATTTGCAGTTTTGTTTTTTTTTTTTTGAGACAGGGTCTCACTGTGTAGTGCATGCTGGCCTTGAACTTACTTATGTAGCCCAGGCTGCCCTCAGTCTCATGGTGATCCTCCTGCCTCAGCCTCCCAAGTGCTGGGATTATAGGCATAAGCCACCACACCTGGCTATGTACAGTTTTAAAACATGTTGCACTATATATTTAAGAGTTAATGTTTTTAATTGACACATAGTAATTGTAAATATTTATGGGCTCTAGTGTGACATTCCAATACAGGTTTACAATGTGTAGGGATCGTGGCAGGGTAACTGAAGTATCTTTACCTTGGACATTTATGATTTCTTTGTCTTAAGAACATTCAAATCCTAATAGCTATTTTAAAAGAGTAGATTATCTGTTGTTAGGTATATGCTATAAACATTAGTGTTTCCTCCCATTCAATATGCAAAGTATATTTTTATGCATTATTGTATTTGTGTGATTTTTCTATTGTTCTCTTGGGAAGGACTCCAGAAACAATATTATTTAGCTAAAAGTTGGGAACTTTTTTGAGATTTTTAAAATATATATACTGTGTGGTGATTTGCTTTTCAAAACACCTGTACCAATTTACACTCTTGCTTGATAAGGGATCATACGTCATGTTTCTAAACTGTGGCTTCAGCTAATAGGTGTTTGCTTAAAATTGGCTGTGAATGGAAAGCGGGAAGGGGGGAAGGATGTATAGAAAAGCAGTAAGCTACAAATTAGAGAATACAGTATTCTTTCAACTAGTAAATGCATAGAAAAGAGGATTGGGAATAAAGAAAGAAGGGCTATCCTGCTTGTGAGACATGTGCTCATGCCATTGTTTTTGTCTCTGTTTTCTTTGTTGCTTAATGTGTACTTTTGCACACAAGACATTCTCTGTATTAAGTAGAGTTTACTTCTTTAAAAAATGAAAATTTTCATTTGGGGTGAAGGAAGAAAATAAGGGGGCACAGATTCCAAACTTAGAGATGAGGTTTATCACTTATGGCCAGAATGTTTAAAAAAATATTCTTAATCAGAAATATTGTTCAGACACCCATCATACGTCTTCAGGATACTGTATCTGGAGAATGGAAATGGGCTCAAAGCTCCTTCTGTTGTAACATGGAAGAAACAGATCTGAGCCAGGTATGGTTGCACATGCCTGTAATCCCAGCACTTGGGAGGCTGAGGCAGGAGGATCATTGCAAGTTTGAGACCAGCCTGGGCTACAAGGTGAGCTCACGGCCAGCCTGAACTGCATAGCCAGACGCTGTCTCAAAAAGAAAAAAAGAAAAGAAACAGGTCTGGACAGGACCAATCTTTATGATAAGTACAATCAGGAAAAAAAAAGATTAGGAATTTCAAATGCTTCCTATAGTGAGCAGAGTGATTTTTCTTCTCCTCAATCCTGTACAGATCCCCAGTGAATGAGGTGCTCTAATTAATTGCTTGTTTCCCATAATGAGCAAAACAACAAAAGAGGCTAAAATGACTATTATCCCACCCATGAAACGGAATCCAATAAATGAATCCCATCACAGATGCACTTTAAAAGGAGGCAGACAGATAACACATAGACTTTTTATCCAGATGTACAATTAAGAATTCCAAGCTAGTTAGGACAATTAAAAGTCATGTTCATATATCAACTCAAATGAAACATAGAGACCAAAATGCAAAACTGTAGAACTCTTAGAAGAAAACAGGACAGGGGGTTGGGGATTTAGCTCAGCGGCAAAAGCACCTGCCTTGTAAGCGCAAGGTCGTGAGTTCGGTTCCCAGTCCCGGAGAAAAACAAAAAAAAAACAACAAAAAAAAACCAACTTAGCAGAAAACAGGACAAAATTTGGGGGGCCCACAAATAAATGAAGAGTTCCTAGGAATGACACTAATAATATGGCCCATAAAACAAATAAATCATAAATTCACATGTCCTAAAATTAAAATCAAGTGAAAGAAAAGACACAACGTAAAAGAAAATTATTTATAAAGTACTTAGCAAAACTTGGATTTGTATTGAAAACGTACAAAGAATTGGATGTTTTGTTTTATTTTGTTATGTTTTTGTTTTTGTAGAACTGGGGATTGAACCCAAGGATTGAGCTACCTTCCCAGTGCTTTTTATTTATTTACTTATTTTATTTTGAGACAGAGTCTCCCTAAATTGCTGAGACGGAGCTTGAACTTGATCCTCTTGCCTCGGCCTCTGAGAGAGCTAGAACTATAAGCATATGCCACCATGCCCAGCCCAAATTTTTAACATAAAATAAGAAAACAAATACCTAATTTAAAAATAGGCAAAAGACAGTTCGCAGATGATCTACACATGCACAAGAAAAGATGCTCAACATTATTACACATTAAGGAGAGGCAAATAAAACTATGGTATGGTCCTGCTGTGCTGGTTTCAGGATGGCAAAAAACCAAATGGCAATTCCAAGAGTGAGGAGGATGCAGAGAAACTGGGACACTCCATTACTGCCAGGAAGGCAGAATGGAGAAGGCAGTCGGGTGAGCAGTTTGGTGATTTCTTACACTTAAACGTGCACGTAGCATGCAACACAGCAGTCCTGCTTCTGGGTACCTAACCTAGATATGAAAATATAGAGCCACACAGAAAGCCAGATACAAACTGTAGTCGCCTTGACTCTGGTACCTAAGAGCTAGAAACCGACTTCAGTAAGTGGCGAGATAAACACACGGCTCATCAAGTATGATGGAGCACCACAGGCACTGTAAGGGAACGACCTGTGATGGCACAGGACAGTCGGATGAATGAACGGCAGAGACATTACAGAGACAGAAGCTATTCTCAGGCTACTGTCTGTCTAATTCCACCGGGGCAACCTTGTAAGGACAGAAGGACATGGACAGAACAGATCCGTGGCTGTCAGGGCTTATGGCGGTATGATGGTATGACAGTAAAAGGGCAGCACAAAGGACTTTTACAAGGCAACACAACCTTTCTGTGTGCTGCTTATGGCTATACCAGTGTACATGTGTTAGCACTCACAGAACTGTACACCGATAGCAGTCCAGTGTACTGCATGATCATTCATAAAAGAGAAGGGGACCAGGGAGAAAGAGTGCCAGGGGGCAGGGCAGCAGAGAGAGAAGCAAACAGGGAGACTGGCCCGGCATTGGCCCCCGGGCTCACCCCGTGGTCTTGTGAGCGAGTGAGATGAAGTCCCTCTGCCAGCGCAGCCACACACTCGAGATGTGCCAGCACCTGTGAGAGTGGGAGCGCTGGGCAGAGCCTGCATGAGCAAGCGGGAGGGACTGTGACAGGGAGTGATTGTGCAGAAGAGGGCCCCAGGAGACAGAGCCACGGCTTCGATGCCAGGCTGTCTCGGAAGGAACAAGGGCTGGGGACTGAGTGCGTCCCAGCAGCAGACCCCGGCTGAACCTGCAGGCCTGTGCACGGCAGGACTGTCGTTGGCGAGGCTTTCCTGGAGGGCCCCAGCCAGCCAGTGACTGGGCTGACCTCTCAAAGATATTTCCTCTCTGCTCGTCCCTGCAGGTGGTGTGTGTCCCCCTGTGGATCCTCATGTCCTTCCTGTGCCTGGTGGTTCTCTATTACATCGTGTGGTCCGTCTTGTTCCTGCGCTCTATGGATGTGATTGCGGAGCAGCGACGGACTCACATCACCATGGCACTGAGCTGGATGACCATTGTGGTGCCGCTGCTGACTTTTGAGGTAAGTTCTCTGCAGGAAACCTGTTCAGCCCCCAGCCCAGCCTTCTGTGAAAGCACCCTGAATCTCTTACCAGGCAGCATGGGGGCGCTGCACATCACAGGGAGCCCTGCAGGAGAGAGAGGAGGGCAGGGACAGAGGACATCCTTTCTCTACCCTGGGGACTGCACAGGGTGCTGGCCAAGAGCAGTGTGCTCTTCAGCCATGCTGGCTACATGGACTGATAATCAGTTTTCCAAGAGGGACCCTCAGCATCCTGGTCTTGTATTGGAGTTCTGTAGAGAGTTCCAGAATGGACACTGGACATGGTAGAATGAGCATGAGGAGTTCCACATAAATCTCACCTGGTTCTCTCCCCCAAGGATGGGAGCTTTCCTGACCTGTCCTATGGTGACTTGCCCTGCTCTGAGACCTAATGCAAAGGGCTCCCTACAGAGACAGCTTCACACGTAGTTCATTTGCAGGTGTCACATCCGCAGGACCCTTACTGTGTCTCTTTCCCTAGATTCTGCTGGTGCACAAACTGGATGGCCACAATGCTTTCTCTTGTATTCCCATCTTTGTCCCCCTGTGGCTCTCACTGATCACGCTGATGGCAACCACGTTTGGACAGAAGGGTGGAAACCACTGTATGTATTCAGCATCTCAGAAGCCCTACACTGGTGTGTTTCTGTGTGTGTGTGTGTGTGTGTGTGTGTGTGTGTGTGTCCACACTCTAAAAAGTTGGGTCCCAGGACCCAATCTAGAACTGTGGCTAAGGAAGGAGCTGGATCTTCCAAGGGCGGGTGTACTGTAACCCTCCCTTTCCCTTGGCCTGCACTCACTCAGCTGTCCTCTGGTGCCCAATACCCTCAGAGGTTGGACTACACAGTGGCAGGCCACCACCTTGCTGGGTTCCTGTTCCCGACACTACAAAATTGGGCTCAAATAACCTTCCAGGGCTAGTGAGGGGAGATGAAAAATCCACGGCTTCCACCAGAACCCTCGAGGCTGATGCACTTTTGTTCCTCTTTGCTCCACTCACTGCCCAGTATCGACAGGGTCTTGTCAGTTGTACCTGACTGGATCACTCTACATCTCCACATGCATGCCATGGCACACAGTTTAGAAATGAGCTGTGGGGAGGGCTCCTGCTCATGAGGCTGTAAGCTCTGCTGTGCGGGAGCCAGAGGAGCGTTCCTTCTGGAAGCCAGGGCTGTGCCGGGACTCAGCCCAGCCTAAGCTTGCTTCTGTTGCTCCGGAAGAGCCAGCACAAAGCTGAGAGTCTGCTGTCACACACACACACACACACACACACACACACACACACACACACACACACACACAGAACCTCAGGAGAGAGCTTCGAGGAGAGCCCATGGGCTCAGGCTGTGTCCTGCCCTGGGCCTACTGGTGCATAACCTACCCAGATTCCAGAGGGGACAGAAATCCTGTGGGGAGAAAATGCTCTGTGTCCCCCATGACTTTCTCCTGGGCCTGGGAGATGAGAGAAAGAGCCTGGCCTAGGCACCCCAGGGTTCTGAAAGTCACTGGAGGAGGGGTTCTCACCCTGGAGCCCACATGGAGTCCCTGGAGGGCCAAGGAGAGCAGTACTCTGGGCCAACAGTGTGCCACAGCTTCTGGTTCAGGTGGCCCAGGCCGTGCCCGACAGTCGCGCCCCGCATAGGGCCCAGGGCACACAGTCACTGCCATTCCAGGAACCCAGTGTCACCACTGCAGAGCCGCAGGTCTCCACTGCCCCTGCATGTGCGCTCGGCCCTGCTCTGTCCTCGGGTCCGAGCAGCCAGCGCGTCTCCTGCTGCCGGGCCAAGTTCTTGTTCCTGAAGGACAGGCAGCGGGGAAGCCGGGAGCACCGCATCTCAAAGGGGTATTCTTGTTTTTCAGGGTGGTTTGGTATTCGCAAAGATTTCTGCCAGTTTCTGCTTGAGATCTTCCCATTTCTGAGAGAATACGGCAACATCTCATATGACCTCCACCACGAGGATAATGACGAAACGGAAGAGACTCCTGTTCCAGAACCTCCTAAAATCGCTCCCATATTTCGCAAGAAGGCCAGGGTGGTTATCACCCAGAGCCCTGGGAAGTACGTCCTCCCGCCTCCAAAATTAAATATCGAAATGCCGGACTAGAGGGCGCTGCTGGACCAGAGCACAGGTGCCTGGGACACACACCCTCCCCGCTTCCTCTGCACCGGCTTCACCCCAGACCAGAATGGAGCTGGGCCTCCAGGGAAACCCTCTGCTATACCGTTTGCGCTCGGTACTGATCAGCCACCCGCCACAGAAGGACCAGGTGGCTGGCGGTGGGAGGTGTGTGCAGAGAGAGACACCAGGGGTTGGGGCACGCAAGAGAGGGCGGAAGGAACCTGACTGCCCCAAGGCTGTTACCTGCCGTGTGCTGCCCCGTCAGCGACAGCAGCTCCACAGACCTGCAGAAGCAGCGTCTGTCAATGGGGCAGCTTTCCCAAGTGCTAAAATCCCAACAGAAAGTGTTGTTGGAAGATGCGTCTCCAGGGGGCTGCGCCCTAGTCCGGCTCTGAGCTGTCTCCCGCCTGCAGCCGGCGGGGACGGGACTACATCTGAGAGCACCTGGTGTGCAGACCGAGCACAGCCACGCATCCCCTGTCCCCGCTCGGCAGGGGTTTCCCTCTGAGCACGGGGGGTGCAGGTTTTCAGGCCTCATCCCTGAACCCTTCCCCAGGAGTGAGTGACTCCATGCCTGTATAGTATTTATACAAATATTTTAGCATTGTAATATACGGTGTCAAATCCCGGTTCTGTACAGCATACTCTGTTAAAAGTATTTTTTTACAAATTTGCCCTGGAGACAGCCGTGTTCTGTGTGGAAACCCAGGTGGGTGGCATGCCCACCTGGCCCCAGAGGAGTGAAGACCCTCATAGAACATGGCCATTTGTGCCCTGGGATCCCTTCAGCACCTTAGCGGCTTGTCCCACCAGCATAGCCACAAGCAAGAAATGGCATGTGCTCCCCTAACGCACAGGGAGCACCGGCCAGCAGAATCCTGGAAAATGCTTCCTGAGGCTGGGACACTGGAGAAGGTGGCAGAGAGCAGAAAGCCTGGAGGAGCAGTCTGACTGCCGGCGAGGGGGGCACGGGGCACCAGGCCGGTGCCAGCCTCGTGGCCATGGCATGTCGGGCTCTGGCACTGCAGCTCGTATCCAGGTCCTGCAACGTGCAGTAGCCTTTCCCCTGGAATCAAGTAGGTCATTTTTCAGAGGATCTGGAGGAGCAGTGACCTTCTGATCCCAGTGGACAAGGCAGGCTTTCCAGGGACCAGCGGCTCCGTGGCCTAATTGGAAGGAAGTAACATCCACCTGCTCCCTGCCCCTGCCCCTGCCTCTGCCCCTGCCCCTGCCCGGCAGTGGACTCCAGCGTCGCTGGTCTGTTTCAGGGCAAAGGGGGACAAATGCTCCATCACTTCCTGCTCAGTGTGTAAAACCTGTCGCTAAGCCCACTGTTTTGCCGCCTGTAGTTGTGTAATAAACTGATTCCTCATTTTATGTGTGCACAGCGTGTGGCTTGCTTTAGAGCTGCCCGGGTAACCCGGCTTGTCCTCAGCCAGCCCCAGGGAGTCTTCAGCTGCTGCAGCGAGCCGAGGCTGGGTCCTGTATTACGAACCCCTCTCCAAGGAGAGCACCAAGGGCTCACAATGGAAAGGACTTGTCATTCGCATCCTACACAAGGCTGGGCGCCACCACTCTGCCCTCGTCTTAGTGGGGGAGGCT